TATCCACGAATTAAATTTAGAGGGGTATCCTCGCCAGCTAACTAGCAATTCCTTACTGGCGCCGCGACCCCTGCCTTTTATCACCTTGTCGACGAGAAACTCCTCTTCTTGCAAATTTTTGCTCACCCTCGCTAGTTCCTGCTCGTAGAATATCCCGTCTATAACTTCACCCGATAGATCGCTCAATTCGTATACCTGCGGTTCTCGTCATGTGAGAACGCGATGAATTTGAAATATTTCCTCGCTACAATTCGCCTCGTATCCTTTCTCGAAGGTGCCTTTTGCCCTACTGACTCGCACTAGATCGCCCACCGCGTATTTAGCCTTTCGTTTACGAACTCCCCCTTTGCGCTCGTATCGTCGTTTCGTATTGTCGCGTGCGATGCGAGCGTTTTCCAGCGTAACACTCGCCGGCCGCATCAAGAATTTCCGCATGGCGGAATGACGGATGTGATTGTAGGCGCGCGCGATATCCTGCAAAATATCGATGTAACGATGTGTATTCCGATGAGTAAAATAGCGCCACCTTCATTCTTTGAGCGTTCCATTGAAGCGCTTGATTACGGCGGCTTTGACATCGGGATTTCGAGTTACGCAAAAACGTATGCTCTTTTTTTCAAAAAGTTTTGAAAGGGACGCGCGAAGAATTCTTTTCCCTTGTCTGTTTGTAGATACACAGGTAGCCGTCCCTCGCCGGCACGCGCCGGAGTGCTGCCATCAAGCTAACACTTGTTTTGTCACGTATCACTTCCACCCAGACATATCTGCTGAGCACATTGATAATCGTGAGCAAGTAGCAGTAGTCATCGTTGTAGAGATTGCAAAGCTCGATCAAATCGGCCTCCCACACGTCGTCGATATTCGTCACGTTGTAATGTAAGCGGGGAAATTTGCGTCGTATCGGTCTGTGCAGCGTATACGCGTCTTGTGACTCGAGCCAACTAATCATTTCGTTTCGATTGAAATCCGGTTCGGCGGCGCGCGAAAGATTTTCCATGGTTGAGTACCCCGCATAGTGCGCGGGATTATAGTATAATTTTTCCAGCCCCGTCATTCCAAAAGATTCCAATCCAACAATCGTCTCTTCCTTGCGAATT